GAGCACAGCAACAAGATGGCAGAGACCATAAAGCCAGCATTTCCACTGTATGGTAAAGCAGCATAAATTGGATGTCAACCCATTCAGGTTCAAATCCTGGCTCCACCATTTTCCAGCTGTGTGACCTTGGGCAAGTGCTTAACCTCTCTGTGCTCTGATGCATGTTCTTATCTGCAAAGTGGGGTTTTAAGAGTTAAATGAGTTTAAAGATGTAAAGCACTGGAGCTGGGGTTGTAGCACACTGGTAAAGCCCTTGCCTAGGATGTATGAGGAACTAGGTTTGATCCTCAGCACCACGTAAAAGTAAATAAATAAAATAAAGGTATTATGTCCATCTACAACTAAAAAATATTTTTTTAAAAAGATGTAAAGCAGGGCTGGAGTTGTGGCTCAGTGGTAGAACACTTGCCTAGAATGTGTAATGCACTGGGTTTGATTTTCAGCACCACAAATAAATAAATAAAATAAAGGTCCATTGACAACTAACAAAATATTTTTTTAAAAAAGATGTAAAGCACTTAAAAGAACAGTACTTGCACACTGAGTTTACAGTAATACATTTGCTGTTACAGCAGACACATATTAGCTAAGTGTTGAGTGTTATTGAGGAAGATTTCAAGGCAGAACACCTGGGCAAGTCAGTTGTATCTCATCTGATAAATGGAAAATACTCTTTTACCAACCTGTTTAGTCAGCAAGGATTTTGTAAGAATCAGAGGGGATTCAAAGCACTTTGAAAAGAGCAGCATGGGCTGGGGTTGTGGCTCAGCGGTAGAGCGCTTGCCTGGTGCATGCGAGGCCCTGGGTTCGATCCTCAGCACCACATAAAAATAAATCAATCAAAAATAAAGGCATTGTATACAACTAAAAGAAATAGATATCTAAAAGAAAAGAGCAGGGCTGGGGATGTGGCTCAAGCGGTAGCACGCTTGCCTGGCATGCGTGCGGCCCGGGCTCGAACCTCAGCACCACATACAAACAAAGATGTTGTGTCCGCCAATAATTAAAAAATAAATATTAAAATTCTAAAAAAAAAAAAAAAGAGTTAAAAGAAAAGAGCTGTGTGCCACTGGTTGATTTATTTTTGGTGCTGGGGATGGAGTCCAGGGTCTTGCGCATGCTAAGCACGTACTCTGCCCTGGGCCACATCCTCTGCCCTGGGCCACATCCTCTGCCCTGGGCCACATCCTCTGCCCTGTTGCTTTTAACTCTGTCCCAATCTGTTTCTGCTGGAGATAGCTGGTGTTGTTCCTGCCGCTTAGCTTTCTAGCAGCAAGATGGGACACGCTGAAAAAGCATAGATGCTCCCTGTTTTCTTTAGAGACAGGTCAGGTTGCAGCCCTCACTGTGTTCCCCCTCCACCTCCTCTTTCCATCTGTCCTTTGTGTCTGTCAGGCCGCTGGATATGTTGACATCTTTCCAGAATTTAAAGAAACTGATTGGCCAGGCTCAGTGGCACATGCCTGTAATCCCAACGGAGGAGGCTGAGGCAGGAGGATTGCAAGCTCAAGGCCAGCGTCAGTAATTTAAGCCATTTAGCAAGATCCTAAGCAACTTAGGGAGACCCTGTCACTAAATAAAATATAAAAAAGGGCTTGGGATATGGCTTGGTGGTTAAGTGCCCCTGATACAAAAAAAAAAAAAGAAAGAAACTTTGGTTGTGGAATGCTGGGCAGGACATTTATCTTTTAAATTATTTGTACATTATTCAGTGACAATCACGTGGTGATTAGAAGGGAGGCAGCTGAAGGTGTTAGGAGCCGAGGTTTGCCTGACAGACAATCAGCCGGGTAAGACAACGCTTACCCAGATTCACTCTGTCTGTGATTCTTGAGTTATAATATAACATGAAAACCACGCACCCAAAGGCCGTGGTGTTCTCTAGTTGAGGACCTACCTCTGAAGCGTCCAGGGGGGAGCTTGGATTTACGGTGATTTCCACGTGCACTGTCTTGATACTGTGCTCCGGGGCAAATGCCCTCCTGGACACACAGACAGGGGCTGAGGCCCTGCAGGGCGGGGAATGGTTCAGCCAGCAGAGAGGTCACACCAGGCCGGGGTCAGCAGCCCCACTGGGGCGAGGAATCCGCCCGGCTCTCTCGACCTCCTCCTCCCCTCCTGACCCAGGAGGTCAGGAAGAGAGAGAACCCGTCCTGGCTCTGCACTCAGAGACTCTGTCCACTCAGACCGCTGCTGGGTGATCTCAGCCAAGGGATTGAAACTCCGAAGCTCCACTGTAAACAGGGACACAAACTCCATCTTCCTTCTAGAATGTGAAGATTCCAGGTGACAGTTCATGAAGAGATACTGGCCCCTAGCAGTTGCTCAAGGACAGAAGCTCTCGTTATCATTGCTGCTGCTGTTTTCTCTGCCGCCCGCCTTCCGCTACAGTGAGGGAGATTTTCCCGCTGGAGTGCTCACATTAGCACTGGACCCTGTGAGCCTCCCAAGGCTGGGATATCCTTTATCCTTTTACCTTTGGTCACAATCGCAGGAACCTGGCCCACCTCTCAGAAAAATGGGCCAGGCAGGGAGGAGACACAGGCAAACCCAGCCGGCTCTTCAGGCCGGCACCTGAAGGTCAGGTCCATCCAACAGGAGAGTCAGGATCCCAGAAAGAGCCCCAGGCACAGGCTGGGGCAAGAGTTGCACTCTGGGGTCCCACAGAAACTCCAAAATTAATTCACAGAATTCCACCTAGAGGTTACAGAGGTTGGGGGTCCCCCCTTCTGGGGGCCCAAGAGGCTGGGAGCCACTCTCCAGGCAGGAGGCACAGCTGTGACCTCTGGGGCTGTCCTCTGTGGTCAGCCCTGGTGGTGGTGGTACTGGGTCTGCCACCCTCAACTGTGGGCAAACAAAGGCGGGGTGGAGGCTTAGTCACCTCTATGGCCCCCACGCCGAGCACATGGTAGGCTTTGGATGAATGTTCCCTGGATGATTGAAGCCGTCAAAATCAACGAAAGAGATGGTCATTAAATGACCACTGCATCAGGCCAATGGGTGAGTTGATTAGCTCACGAGGATCTCTAGATGCCCCAGTGGCCCGAGTGGGCCTCTCTCTGGGTCACGTTGGGGAACAGAACCTCTCGGTGGAGGGAGATTTCCAGCCACAAGGAGGAAGGAGCCCCACAGAGCCGGAGGAGCTCTTCTTGCCTCCACCACCACATTCTCCGCCAGGCGCTGGGACTCTGATTTGTTTTGCCCGGGTACCCCATAAGCCAAGTGCCCAGGCCTGAGCTGCAGCCCCTGGGGGCAGGGAAAGCTGCTTCTAGCACACACAGAGGTACTGTGGGCTCCCAAGCCATGCTCTCAGGAGAGTGCCACCGTCTAGTTTCACAAGGGCACCCACAGGTGAGGAAATGTCCTGTTCTGCAAGTTGGATCAGTAGCCAGACTTAAGCAAGGAAGTAAGAAGTGAGGTCTGGTGCTCACTGCCTTCATGGTGTGTCCCAGGCAACCCAAGCTCCCGAGAGTCCTTAACAGGTGGGACATAAACAAAGGGTCCCCTGCCAAGAAACGGGGAGTTAAAATCTAACCAGCTGTTTCACCTCTCAGAACTTTGAATGTGTTAATGCACAACGGTGACTTTCTTAAGAGGGCTCTGCAATGTGGCACCTTCCTCCCCTCACAACTCCTCTGTGATCTATAGATGCACTCTTTGGATTGTAAGTGACAGATCCAACCCGCGCTCGCTGGGGTCAAAAGGAGAGTGCAGGGCCTCATCCCATGACCTCCGACAGAAGGGGCAGAACGAGGCTGAACCCCAGGGCCCCACAAAACAAGGCCTCGGCACCAGCAGGACCCTCTTCCCGGCCTCTCCACTAGGCTCCCCCTACCTGCCAGCTCTCCTGGCTCTTCTGCCACCTTCTTCCGTGGCGACCAGGAGCAGGGGAGGCAGTAACACCTGCATTTGCTTCTACAGAGCCCAGGGCCAGATCCCCATGGTCCTGATTCTCCAGGGAGTCCTGGGGGACTGACCTGAGTCTTGTCCACATTCCAGTGGGTGCGGGTGGGGGCTCTGGGATGGCATTTTTCATGAGACCTTGGGTCAGAAGACAGGTAGAAGAGTTCTTTGAAGGCAGACAGTCCCAGAGTAAGGGGTGTGGGTTGTTTGGTGGGGGAAAAGAGAGGGGGCTCAGGACACTGCGGGGAAGACAAAATAAAAGTCAACCACTGCCTTTTAAAATATGGTTTGGGTTTAAAAATAGAGAAAAAACCTTCTCCCTCTCCTGAATTTTGTACTGTGTTTCAGTGAACTTCATTTAAATCGAGTATTTAGGGGCTGGGGATGTGGCTCAAGTGGTAGCGCGCTTGCCTGGCATGCGTGCGGCCCGGGTTCGATCCTCAGCACCACATACAAACAAAGATGTTGTGTCCACCGAAAAATAAATAAATATTTAAAAAAAAATAAAAATAAAAAAATAAATCGAGTATTTAAAAGATCTCATTCTCTTTTTGTCCTGAGATTTGAAGTTTTAACCAAGCCTTATTTTTGCATCTTGGTCTTAAAAACCAGCAGGGGACATGCTTATTGAAGGAGTGAAAGAAAAGGTGACCTGGTCTGTGAGCGGTTGGGTAGCAGCCCGGTGGGGCTGACCCAGCATTGCAAGGCCCCATTTCTCTGTCACCCCACCCCCCGCCGGTTTCCAGCTGAGTCATGTTTTGTGGAACCATCCAGAGTGGATCCACAGGTGTGAGAACACTTTCAGGTCCTAGATGAACCCTCTCCACTTTCACTGGGAGCAGATGACACTGCTCTTGGTGTCCTGCCATACCAGTCCTGCTGCCCAGCTGGGATGGCACGTCTACCTGTGTTTCTTCTCCTTAGACGGGAGAAGGCCGCCTTGCTCTGCTCACCACATATCCTCAAAGCCTAACTCTGTGCCCAGTGCACGGTGGGGCTCCGCTGGGTGACAATGTCGTGGTCACTGGAAGAGTTCCAGCGCTTGCTTTGTAGATGCTTATCTGGGTCCTTCCTGATTTCTCTTTCTTCTTTCTCAGAGGACTTCAGCTGTGAACCCAAGATCCGCGCAACCACCTGAGGACGGTCAGGATACAAAAGGGAAGCAGGGGGACCCACCCGGAAGCCCTGACCACAGGGACTTGTCCAGGTAGGGAGCCCGCCCTGGGGTGGACACAGCGAGGCATGGCCAGCTTGCTGCCCCTCCAGCATTTGCTTTGCTCTGGTGGCTTTGGGAAATTTGCCTGTACACCTGTGAGAGGTCCCCGTGGTGAGGCCATGGCTCCTAGACCGCCCTGGGCTGGCCACACCAGCACTGATTAGAGAAGTAATGGTTTCTCTGCTGCAGGTGAAATTAGTATTTACACACTCCCCGGAATTAGTAATTGACACTCCAGGTTAGTTAGCTGTACGGTCAGACCTGAACATGGGAAAGATCAGGGCTTCCAGGAGGACACCGGAGACCACGTGGCCTGTGCTCCAGGCTGGAGGCTGTGTAGGCACCCGACCTTGGAACAGGGGCTTCAGGGAGCAACTCCTAAAGCCACCCAGGGAGGCGGGAAGCCGAATTCCAGAAGCCCACGAGGTCACCCTGTGGCAGGGGGACATGGCCAGTGAGCCCCGGGCCATTGGTCAGTGGCTCCTCGTTATGACTCTCAGCCAGGCCCTGGTTTCCCTGCCGTGGCTCCCTCCTGGACCTTTCCCCACATCACATTCTGAACCTATAGTTTTGGGGGTATTCACAAGCCCAGGGCAGCAGACTCAGTCCCCAGCAAAACAGGCCAGAAACCCTGGAGCTAATTAGTAACTACTTGTGGGTTCAACTCCCAGAAGAGAATAGCCCCCTTGAACAGTCAGAGTTGAACTTCCAAGACTCCTGATCATACAGCCCTGAAGGCACAAATGAACAGGAGCTCACGGAACACAATGCAGAAGTCCAGCCATGAGCCCGTCACAGACCTCGGAACTGGAGGTGGCAACATGCTTTGTAATAGCTCCTCAAAACCTGAAGACCAAGGCGACATTGTGTGCTTTGGGTACCTAAGAGTGACCCCTGGTGGCAGGAATTGCCACACCTGGGGGTATTCCTTCCTGGGTGGCTTGGGCTGTGTGGTTTCCACAGGAAATACTTGGAACCTCTCAGCATCAGCCTTAGATTTCCTTCTTTCTTTTAGTAATTTTTAGTTTTCAATGGACCTTTATTTTATTTATTTATATGCGGTGCTGAGCATCGAACCCAGAGCCTCACATGTGCAAAGCAAGTGCTCTACCACTGAGCCACAGCCCGGGCCCCAGCCTTAGATTTCTTTAGGCAAATGATGATCAATGTGGTGGCACATTATTCTTTGTTGAGGGCCTCGGAATGATGCCTTGAACAGCAGGCACCTTTGACCCCTGCCCTCTGCCAACAGTGGTGCCTCCTTGCCTCTCCAAATCCCAGAGGCTGTTACCTGTTCAGTCTGTTTATCAGGGTATTAGGACATAGGATTTTTATTGGTACTGGAGATTGAACCCAGGGGCACTTTACCACTGAGCTATACCCCCAGCCCTTTTTATTTATTTTGAGAAAGAGTCTTGCTAAGTTGCTGAGGCTGGCCTTGAACTTGTGATCCTTTTGCCTCAGCCTCAATTTTAATGTTCAGTTCTAATTAGACCTCTAAACTGGCTCCAAGGATCATGAAACCAGTGAATGGTATTATCTTTTCTGGAATCCAGTGCAAGGGAAGCACTACTGGCTAAGACCAAGTGTCCAGTTTTCTCCCCTCCCCATCTTTCTGGGGCCTGTGTCACAGCAGGACTGAAGAGCAAGATGTGCACAAAGGTCTTCAGCTTTAGACAATTATTAGTCAACTATTTCTGCTTGAAGAAGAACTGCCTCTCATTGGCGGGCAGATTGAGCATAAAAGAGCTGCCTTCCAAGACCAAGCCCAGAGCAGCAGCTTCCTGTTCAGGGTAGAAAACAGGACTGCTGGGACTGGGGTGCAGCTCAGTAGTAGAGGGCTTACCTAGAGGGAGCAAGGCCCTGTGCGCTGCAGAACAAAATCAGGATTATCCTCAATAAATGGCTTCATTTCCAGCAGCTGGCCTCTGACTTCCCCAGGAATTGACCATGAGTCTGTCCCATGTGAAGTCAGGATGCCTGAGGAGGAGAGATGGGCACCAGCTCCTGAGTCACAGGAGCCTTGGCCACCAGCAGGATAGCCGTCGTATTTAATGCTCATATTGCATTTGTGTGCCAGACGCTATGTCACGGGCTCTGTGTACAAAATTAAAGTTTGCCTTCTGTGAACTAGTTCCCTTGTGACACGGCCTTGCTCAGCAGGCTGGTGAGCATACCCAGGGCAGCTGGCACTGGGACACCCCTCCACTGAGGCCTGGTAAAGGGACCATCACCATCACCAATGAGATGCCCGTTGGTCTGGCCACACTGTCCCCAGCCCCGTGGGTCAAAAATATCCCAGAAAAATCTGCATTTGTCCTGAACATTTGCCATGTTAGGTATGATAAGTAGTCTAGAGGTGACTGCAAGTGTTCAGGAGGATGTACCCTGTCGATGCGTGTAATGGAATCAGGCTTCACTGGATTTTGGTGTCTGAGGGGTTCTGGAACCAATCCCCAGCAGATATGGAGGGACAGCTGTGCAGAGAGGCGCATGTTGGTGTTTCCAAGGCTTGTCTCTCAGCCCATCTTCACTCCACAGATGAGGAAACAGGTTTAGACCATCACATAATCTGTCTTGGCAGCAGGAAGTCCATTGCTTGGCCCCGAGGGTTCTCTCTGTCTTTGAATTATACTAGAAGTCAGGGTTTACACTTCCCCAAAGGGGGTACGTTCTCCACTCAAATAGAAGGAGCTTGGGGTCCCTTCAGCTCAACTGCTTTGCTTCTTGGTTGCCACGTGGTGTCGCTGTGGTAACTTGGCCCTGTATAGTCCAAACCCTGAAGATGCTGGGTGGTGCTCCCTGCCATCTCTGACCAGCCTTGCATTTTGGAGGGAGGATGCTCCTGCCCTCCCAGGTGAAGCTTAGCCCCAGGTAACACTTCATACTGCCCAGCAAAGACGCCTAAGCACAGCCACCTGGGTACCTGTGTCTAGAGTGCTTCTAGGCCTGCTGTGTCTTGGAACCCTTCCCTCCTTGGGTACCAGCAACCAGGGATGGGGTAGCCCTTTCCTTTAAACCTGCAAAACACAAGCTTCCCCATAACAGAACCATTAGATTGCATCACAGGAAATTACTATTTCTGTAGGTGAAAAATTGTTGGATATCTGCCATTTCCTGTGTTCCAAATCACACTTGCTTATCTTTCCAAGGAAGGCTCCAAGCCAACTTGAAAGATGACTGGCTTTTTTCCAAGGATGACTCTGGGTGATCCCTTGGGGAATTTCTGGCACCTATGTCACTAAGAAATGGAAACTCACTTGCCTAGAGCCTCAATATTATCCAGTAGTTCTCAAACTTGAACGGGCATCAGGATCACCTGCAAGGCTGGTGCCGATGCAAACTGCTGGGCTTCTCCTCCAGGGAGTCTGGTCTGGGTAGGTCCAGGGTGAGGCCTGGGAACCAGTATTCCTAACAGATTAAAGGTGCTGTGGCTTGAATGGGAGGTGTCCCCCAAAAGCTCACGTGGAGATTGCAAGAAGGCTTAGAGGAGAAATGATTGGGTTATGAGACCCTAAACTCATCGAATTAACACCCTGATAGGGATCAACTGAGTAGTAACTGATGGCAGTGAGGTGTGGCCAGAGGAGGTGGGGCATTAGGGGTGTGCCTTTGGGGTATATATTTGTATCTGATGAGTGGAGTCTTACTCTGCTTCCTGATCATCACATGAGTCGCTTCCCTCCACTACACTCATCCGCCATGATGTTCTGCCTCACCTTGAGCCCCGAGGAATGGAGTCTACTATCTATGGATTGAGACCTCTGAAACTGTGAGCCCCCAAATTAACTTTTCCTCCTTAAAATTGTTCTGGCCACATCTGTTTGTCACAGCAATGACAAAGCTGCCAAAAACACCAGGTGACACTGGTGCTGAAGATCCAGGCTGTGCGCTGAAGATTGCAGCATGTGCTATGCCCTTGTGTGGAGCCGGGGCTTGGTGCTGTTGGGGTTCAGATGAGCAGATGGTGGGGGAACTTGAGCTTAAGGGGCACCTTTCTGAAGCCAAGGCAGGTGGGGGCAGAATTCTTGAGTCAGACCTCTGGAGGCGGAGCAGGAAGTAAGCAGACTGGGTGGAGTTTTATCCTGCAGGTAACAGGCAGCCAGGGAAAAGCTCTGTGATTTTTTTTTTTTTTTAAACCAGGGCTTAGGCATTCCAGGAAAGGTTCAGAAGATGAAGTTAGAGACCCTTGATCAGTGCTCAGGAGGGTGGAATCTGAAAGGGCCATCAGGGATGTCCTGTGGTTGGGATGGTGGCCTGAACCCAATCCCAAGGTAGAATTTAGGACACCTGCTTACCTGGGTATGGGCAGAAGGTTGGAGTTGAAGATGATGCTAAGGCCTTGCACCAAGATCCCAGAAGAAAGACCCACACTGGAAACTGGGAAACAGAGTATTCCACCCCAGAAAGCTATCTGGGGAAACTGGAGCTTAGGCTGTTTACGGAATGCCTGAGGTTATCTGCAGGGACTCTGTTGGCCTGGCTTTATTAAAGCAGGCCCCTGACAATGGGGAGAGTGAGTTTAATGGGGTGACGGTGGCCCCAAATCCTAAGAGATCCTCAGGGCAGTTTCAGTCACTTATGCAAGTTACTCGGCTATGGACCCCTTCCAGTCCCCGTCTTTGTGTGCCTTTATGCTGTGTTGGAGATGGCAGGAGAGATCAGCGTTGGGGTGGACCACAGTAAATGGAACCATGCGGGCCGTGACTCCCATCCCCCTGGATGATGGGATTCACCTGGGTGTGGGGTAAATACTTCATTTCCTAGGCCCCAGCAGGGCCCTGAAGCAGGGCTCCTCACTGGGGAGTAAGCTGTTTCTAGCAGGTGATTCTTGTGAGCAGGGAAGTTTGTGAAACTGTGAGCTCTTGCCAGGCCCACCTGACCAGAATGGCCTAATTTTTGGCTTTTTCAGAAGACAAACTCCTCTTTAGAATAAAAAAATTCCTTGGTGTTTGTGGAGTAGCGGCTTGGAAGAGTAGACACCGTGGCTT